AATGCCACATTAATCTTGAGGGAAAACCATGAAGAAAAAGCCAAACTTCGTGAAAATCGGATGAGATTTGGCCGAGATATGGGGGTGGTAATTTTTGACCCATGTCTATATACGAAAATTGGGGTAAGATTTGGACATGAATTTCGACCAAAAAATCGGTGTCGAGATTTGAATGCCACATTAATCTAGAGGGAAAACCATGAAGAAAAAGCCAAACTTCGTGAAAATCAGATGAGATTTGGCCGAGTTATGGGGGTGGTAATTTTTGACCCATGTCTATATACGAATCTTGGGGTAAGATTTGCATGCATTTCGACCAAAAAATCGGTGTCGAGATTTGAATGCCACATTAATCTAGAGGGAAACCCATGAAGAAAAAGCCAAACTTCGTGAAAATCGGATGAGATTTGGCCGAGTTATGGTGGTGGTAATTTTTGACATGCATTTCGACCAAAAAATCGGTGTCAAAATTTGAATGCCACATTAATCTAGAGGGAAACCCATGAAGAAAAAGCCAAACTTCGTGAAAATCGGATGAGATTTGGCCGAGTTATGGTGGTGGTAATTTTTGACCCATGTCTATATACGAATGTTGGGGTAAGATTTGGACATGAATTTCGACCAAAAAATCGGTGTCGAGATTTGAATGCCACATTAATCTAGAGGGAAAACCATGAAGAAAAAGCCAAACTTCGTGGAAATCGGATGAGATTTGGCCGAGATATGGGGGTGGTAATTTTTGACCCATGTCTATATACGAATCTTGGGGTAAGATTTGGACATGAATTTCGACCAAAAAATCGGTGTCGAGATTTGAATGCCACATTAATCTAGAGGGAAAACCATGAAGAAAAAGCCAAACTTCGTGAAAATCGGATGAGATTTGGCCGAGATATGGGGGTGGTAATTTTTAACCCATGTCTATATACGAATCTTGGGGTAAGATTTGGACATGAATTTCGACCAAAAAATCGGTGTCGAGATTTGAATGCCACATTAATCTAGAGGGAAAACCATGAAGAAAAAGCCAAACTTCGTGAAAATCGGATGAGATTTGGCCGAGATATGGGGGTGGTAATTTTTGACCCATGTCTATATACGAATCTTGGGGTAAGATTTGGACATGAATTTCGACCAAAAAATCGGTGTCGAGATTTGAATGCCACATTAATCTAGAGGGAAAACCATGAAGAAAAAGCCAAACTTCGTGAAAATCGGATGAGATTTGGCCGAGATATGGGGGTGGTAATTTTTGACCCATGTCTATATACGAATCTCGGGGTAAGATTTGGACATGAATTTCGACCAAAAAATCGGTGTCGAGATTTGAATGCCACATTAATCTAGAGGGAAAACCATGAAGAAAAAGCCAAACTTCGTGAAAATCGGATGAGATTTGGCCGAGATATGGGGGTGGTAATTTTTGACCCATGTCTATATACGAATCTTGGGGTAAGATTTGGACATGAATTTCGACCAAAAAATCGGTGTCGAGATTTGAATGCCACATTAATCTAGAGGGAAAACCATGAAGAAAAAGCCAAACTTCGTGAAAATCGGATGAGATTTGGCCGAGATATGGGGGTGGTAATTTTTGACCCATGTCTATATACGAATCTCGGGGTAAGATTTGGACATGAATTTCGACCAAAAAATCGGTGTCGAGATTTGAATGCCACATTAATCTAGAGGGAAAACCATGAAGAAAAAGCCAAACTTCGTGAAAATCGGATGAGATTTGGCCGAGATATGGGGGTGGTAATTTTTGACCCATGTCTATATACGAATCTTGGGGTAAGATTTGGACATGAATTTCGACCAAAAAATCGGTGTCGAGATTTGAATGCCACATTAATCTAGAGGGAAAACCATGAAGAAAAAGCCAAACTTCGTGAAAATCGGATGAGATTTGGCCGAGATATGGGGGTGGTAATTTTTGACCCATGTCTATATACGAATCTTGGGGTAAGATTTGGACATGAATTTCGACCAAAAAATCGGTGTCGAGATTTGAATGCCACATTAATCTAGAGGGAAAACCATGAAGAAAAAGCCAAACTTCGTGAAAATCGGATGAGATTTGGCGGAGATATGGGGGTGGTAATTTTTGACCCATGTCTATATACGAATCTCGGGGTAAGATTTGGACATGAATTTCGACCAAAAAATCGGTGTCGAGATTTGAATGCCACATTAATCTAGAGGGAAAACCATGAAGAAAAAGCCAAACTTCGTGAAAATCGGATGAGATTTGGCCGAGATATGGGGGTGGTAATTTTTGACCCATGTCTATATACGAATCTTGGGGTAAGATTTGGACATGAATTTCGACCAAAAAATCGGTGTCGAGATTTGAATGCCACATTAATCTAGAGGGAAAACCATGAAGAAAAAGCCAAACTTCGTGAAAATCGGATGAGATTTGGCCGAGATATGGGGGTGGTAATTTTTGACCCATGTCTATATACGAATCTTGGGGTAAGATTTGGACATGAATTTCGACCAAGAAATCGGTGTCGAGATTTGAGTGCCAGATTAATCTAGAGGGAAAACCATGAAGAAAAGGCCAAACTTCGTGGAAATCGGATAAGATTTGGCCGAGATATGGGGGTGGTAATTTTTGACCCAAAAACGAAATCAACCAGCAATACGATACAATGGTCTGATCCTACCTGTAGAAAAAAGAATCAAGCAGTCGGACATGGATATAATGACTCGGCTTTTACTTTTGATAAAAAATATGAATACCTTATGGAATTGTCGGAGACGTCTCCTTTCATTGATTTTAGGAAAAATTTAAATAATTATACCAAGCAACAGCAACGCCTTAACAGATATCCAGCCCATTGCTTAGCTTAACTGATAATACATTATCATCAAACACACACACACACACACGCACCTTTGGCTTTTACCGAGGGTTCAGCTGTACAGTTCGCCCCCTCCACAGGCACTAACCAGGTGGATTAAGCACAACAACGTCGCAGTCAGCCACATCGTTTGCCTCCTCCTATGCCCAGCCATTTGCTTATATTAAAACCATTTTTCGCTTATTACCAAAAAATTTAAATATTTTGAAAATAATAAACTGCGGGTGAGTTACTAAGTGGCTGGGTGGCTTGGGTGGTTTGGTTGGCTTGGGCTGGAACCGAGCCCATCTCATAAGCATTGGCATTGGCATCGACAACAGTGGCAGCCGCAGCCGCAGCGACGCCCAAAATTGAGCAAACAATGTTACTGGTTGTTGGACTGCGTTCGAGTTGCCAGTTTGAGTTAGAGTCTTCGACGGCGGCATCATCATCAGCAGCAGCAGCGGGAGCAGCAGCAGCGGGAGCGGAAACGGGCATGCGCTGGGCCACCTTTTAACCCAACCATGCCATTGCTAATCCTCCAACCCAAAAACCAAACCGAACGTCGACGCCGCCGCCGCCGCGCCCAGTGCGCTATCAGCGTGCCTCGTGTTGATTGTCGCGCGTTGCCATCAATGTGCCACCCAGATGCCAGCCAAATATACCTCCCCCCAGCTCCAGCTACGGCGCCAACTTCAGCTCCTGCTGCCACTCGCCGTATCCATTTAGCCGGTGTTGCGGGTCGCCTCGAAGCTGTGCTCATGATGGGCAACATGCGATTCAGCGTCCGGCCAACCTCTTGATGCTGATGCTGATGAGGATGATGCTGATGCTGTTGCTGATGATGATGATGATGATGCTGATGATGATGCTGATGCCGTTGATGGTCGACGTCGCATAGTGTCATATTTTTATGATTTTTATGTTAATTCATAACCAGCCCGCATCGCGGTTGTCTGAGTTCGCAGTCGCTGCCAAATGCTTTTTAATCCTTTTAATGAAAATTAGTTCCTCTCAATATCATTTAATATATTTTCTTTCGCTTGGGTTTCATTACAATCCCCCCGCCCCCCTCCGCACTCTTTTACTATTCTGTTCTGTTGTTTTCACTGGCATTATCATAATTTCTGTTTGCAACCCTAAATCAACACTTGCCCCATGCTGCGCGTCTCGATAAAGGGTTACTGACTGGCCCGGAACGTGGCACACTCGGGAGCGGGAGATGGGATGGGACACTCTCGTTTTGGCATACATACATATATCACAAGTCGCTTCTGCTGCTCCTGTGCCAACTGCGAAGTGCCTTTGTCTCTGACCTTTTGCGTTTGATTTTCTATGCGGCGTTAAATGCCGTCGCCGTCGTCGTCGTCGTCGTCGTCATCGTTCACGTGGCTTCTTTGGCAAATTGAAAACCCAAAAGCAGTAAAAATTAATGTCCGTAGCGAAGGTGTTGCCATATTTCTTGCCAAGTGCTAGAGCAATGCGCGCCTTTTACCAGCAACTAAGTATCCAAAGCAAGCGCATCTGCGAAGCCCTCAGCTTGGACGCGATATATATACATTATAATACTACTTGAGAATACTTGAAAGCATAGAAAACTAATTGTAATATGGCACTAAGCATAATAGCTGTTGATTTTTAGTTCTAAACGTTGACATTCAATTGCTTATAATAAATTTAAGGGAATATGCTTAGATATTCCATTTTAATCGACAAACAAGTTTCCAAATATTCTACCGTGGATATAACTTTGCTATATCATTTAAATTACAAATATAAGTGCCAAGTGATTCATCTCCTAGGAAGCATTTTTTGTAACCTTTATATTATACCCATATTATGGACTGTATTATAAGACTTATAATATACAAGCATCCCGCCATAGATACCTGCCTATTTGGAATTTAATCGAGATTTAATTATAATACTAACATTTAGCTGCTGAATGATTTTATGCTCTAAAATACGCATACTTTTTCCACAAATTCACGATCACGATTAATATTTAAAGTTCAATCTTGTTACCCAAAAAAAATAAGCATCCCATTAATTCCGTTGCAGTCTTTATTTTGATGTGCCGGCAACTTTTTAAATTTGTCATTGGCTTTGGGGGAATGTCTTTTAACTTAAAGCAAAAAAGAAACAGAAAAATTTAATGCATATACATAATTTTATGTATATATTAATAAAGACAATGTTGCAAGTATTGTTCGATAGGTACTTGTCTTAAAATTGCCATTCTGGTTCAAATATATATACATATATATATATATATGCATATAAATATAGAGATATATATATATACATACATATAAATTATATGATCTGAGGAGTCGCCTTAGCCATTGGCCATCGACTGCTCGCTAGTTATCGCACGAAAAACTACAACCTGTATACGCCGTCTATCCATTGTTGCCTCGAAAGTTTTTGCATTTTTCTGTTCCTCCTTGTTTTTGCTCAGTAAAATGTGCTTTTAATAGCATCGACTTGCTTCGGCTGATGGGATAATGGAGCGCGACGAGCACGCGTAGGATTTATGGAGCATATTTGGGGGGGGGGGGGGGGGGGGGGGGGGGTTGCGATTCGGTAGATTGAAAATGCTAATTTATACGCATTTCATAAGCAATTTGGTTGGTTATGGCCGTCCACGAACCGCTAATATCGAGCCATTTCGATTAGCATAAAAATGAGATTGGGTTAGTGCCAAAGGTGGTAAGGTATCTTGAAAATTATAGCCTTGTTAGTGCTTATCCTTTGGCTGATCGCGCTTAGCCTTGCGGTCGGACCTCGTATCCGATTTCGACTTAGCCGCCAGCTTTACTCCCAGCCCATGTTCAGCCAAAGTTTCGGTTTTCTCCTGATCGCGCTTATGGTGGGCCAAATAAGCCCGACGACGTCTATTGTTCGCAATGCGAACAGCCGCTTCCCAGTCATGTCCCATGGCATCCCTAGTGCGCTCGTCCGGACTGCGCATAAACTGTTTGCGCAGCGAGTGCGGCTCCGTCAGTCCAAAGTCGGGCTTGTAGCGTCTGGGGTCACGCGGACGCAGCCATTTTGTATCCAATCGCTGTGGATCGTTCCACATATTATCCTCACGCCTGATGTGCCGAGGTCCACTCATATCCACTACCATGTTGGTCGAGCCAGCGGTGCCACTCTCGGGTTTGGCGCTCGTGCTAGGGCTGGTGCTGGGGCCGGTGGAGCTGATGCCTTTGCTGGCCTTGCTAATGCCAACTTTTGCCGGTTCCGTTGATATCTTAATGTTGCCGCTTCTGTTTGATCCCTTCTTCGAGCTATGGGCTGCAATATGACGCTTGACGAGCATTGTATGCTTTAGCAGCCGTGGCACAGCTGGCCGTCTCCATAAACAGCCGATGAATCCAACCGGTGAACGCTGCATGATTCGTAAACTTCTGTAGGGACATCGATGGGGAATCGATTGAGAGAGTTGGTTAATGCTGAATGCATGACTTTAACATTTACCTGTGCTCTAAGATTTCACTTCTGAAATATCAAAGACAAAATTATATTATTTTATGTTTAATTTTTATATGTTTTATCGTTATTTTCAAACCGGAATTTTTGAACTTTTTTCAACTTTCAGAAAATATTTTTTGCTCACATGTGATCTGTACTTTAAATGGGAACCGAATGAGCTCCTAGCTAACAGCTCTATTGAAATTGGGCATTTCGAAAGGCAACGCCTGCTAAGCAAACAAAAAAAACACCTCCACTATTAGCCCAACAAAAACTAACTCGATTGCTGAAAACGAGAGAGCAAAAATCAATTCAGTTCAATATTCAACAACAACGCATTCGGCCAGACAGACTCGAATCACGCGAAGGGATCAAGTCCCCTAAAAAAATCCAAGTTTATAATTATTTCAAGCAATATCTTTGCAGACATAGTGCAACTGAGCTATATATCTGTACTAGGTTACAAATCGCTTTAAGTAAATGGTACATATTGCAATGCTGAAAAAGAAACAGGGAGAAGAATCACATGTTAGAACAGGGCAGCTACTACGGATCTTTATGCCATTCCTCTGCAGCTAACCCGATGAAAGGTCACGCATTTGAAGGAAACTGAGCTCCCCAGCTATGGAGCACATTTCTATACATGTAACAATTATAATGCGGCTTGGTTGGTTAATAACAGGCGGGACAGGCTGTTGAAGGCTGTTCTAGAAGAAATTGCACATCCGCTGCAAGCGAAACCATTAACTGCCCGAGTGAGCGGCGGCACTTGAAGCAGAAACCAGTGCGACTTAAACGCAGACACTTGAACTCTTTTTGATTTTACATATTCATATATTTGAGTGTGTGTGTGTGTGTGTGTGTGTGTGTGTGTGTGTTTGCCGCACAATTGCACAATTATGTTAAATATCGACAAGTGGCCTAGAGGCCAGAAGACGCTTTTGTTGTGCCGCTGCAAATATTAATGACGACAGGTATTAAATACTCGAAGCCAGCCACAGACGCAGCTACGCAGCAGCAAAAACGCCAGCAGCTGCGACAGCAGCAGTTGAAACAATCGAAACGATTTCCCATGCCAACGCATGCAATGCAGGTTGAGTGGTTTATAATTTTGTGGAGCTTTGTTGCAGCATCTAGCTAACTGGGTGAAGTGCTTGGCTCCAACCTCGCCCAGCAGGCAAAGGACTTGGCAGTAATCATTTCGAGTGCCGGCCACGTGCATGCGTCTTGGGCTAAGTCGACAAACGCTACATTATAGAGTAGTCCTATTCAGTTAGTAATCGGATTATTATAGTACTAGACGAAATAACTAAGCGTCCCCAAGGTCAAATGAATAATGCTGAAAATGCGCGTGTTGCTGCGCTTTAGACTAATTAGTCAAAAAAAAAATAAAATAAGTATAGCAACTGGCTTACGCTTGCCAGAATATATATGATATAAATCTTTAACAGAAATTAGATTTTCTATTCATTTATATATTTAAATTGAAGTAAATTGTTTCTTTCTGTGTGTATGAACAAGCTATATTAACCGCATTTAGAGTGCTGCTAAAAATTGTGTTAGCAATTCCTGTAGTGTTGAAAAACAATCTAGGCAGAGAGGCAAAATCCTAGTGTCGCCAAACAAGGAGAATTCTCAAAAAGTTCTTTATATAATCACATAAAGTGCAAAAGAATTCTAAAATATTTCCGTATGAATATTCAAATTTAATCAATAGGGTATAACAATTCCCCCAAAGCATGCGGTAAAAATTCGCAAAAAAAAACTCCGAAATTAGTGGAAATATTCCGAAAAAATTGAATGCAACTAAAGAATTCGGCAAGAATTATGGTAAGGTTCCAACACAATTCCTCAGACTTTGCAGGAAAATTCCGGAAGGATTCCGAATAAAATGATGTGTGTGACATTAGTTCAGATGAAGAATTCGGAGCGAATTAAAGGTTCCAGGATAATTCCTAAGGATTCGCAGAAAAATTCCGAAAGAATTCCTAATAATATGATAAGGGGGACATTAGTTCAGCTGAAGAATTCGGAGACAATTAAAGTAAGCTTGCAGCATAATTCCTCAAAACTTGCAAAAAAGATACGAAGGAATTCCGAATTTACCGGAAAATCTCTAAAAGAATTCGGAAAAAAAGGTGTGAGGGACATTACTTCAGAATTCGGAAAAAATTTCTGTAATATTATGCTACAAATTTGAATCCCTTGTAGAATTTTTACCCGTAGATTTGTTTAATATACTCTGATACACGCGCATTCTCTAGACCAGCAGCTCGACGGTCGACCTGAAGTCCGAGTTGGAATCCGTCTTGAAGAGAGTTTCATGAAATACGCGCGTTACTTAATTATGCTATCTAAATGCATTGAATCACCTCAGCCAAATGACAATAATCATAATGACAGCAGCCAACGGGCTGAAAGGTGAATATTATGGTTGAGCCTGGAGGGGGGAGTAGGGATCGTGGCTGGGATTGATATTTGGGGCTGGGGTATGGGGTGCTTGGAATTGCCAACAGTGTATAGAAACAACGATTGCCAAGGCTTTCACGAAGCTACGCCAAAAATGTTAATTCATTTGTTGTCCTTTTGCTCAGTGTGACAGGTTGGCGGCCAGGCAAACCGCACAACAGTCTCAAGTCTGTGGGCAGGTGTTATGCTCATTCCAATTGTTGTTGCTGCTGCTGGTGCTAGTGGTGCTGGTGGTGCTGCCAGGTCCGCATCCTCAACAGACGACAAATCTTTGCAATTTATTTACGTGCCATTTCGTAGCAACATTTTCGTTAGATTTCTTTGGCTTGGCGGAATTCCAAGACAGCAACCCAGCAATAGGGAAGAGCTGTCGACGTTGTCGTTGGAGTCGTAGTCGTTGTAGTCGTTGGTGGGCGGCTCACAAAAGTCATGACGCGCTGATGACGTTGCCAGTGGAAGGATTTAATGGCACATTAAGAATTTTATTACCGCACACAACAACAACAGCAATACGGCATCTATTGAGGAGAGCGAAGGTGGAGCCTTAATAGTCATCATCCCGCAGCAAAAGCCATTGCACACCTTGGCAGAAAAATTTTTGGCGCGCGTACACAGAAAATTTTGACAGGACTATCGTTGGGCGCCATGAAAATCTTTCAGAGTCAACAAATTTTCTTCCCTCTTTTTTCGGCGCTTGCACGGATTTCACGAATCTGACTTCCCTTGCTAAAGCCGTTGTCATTATTACAAGTTTTGCATAAATGAATAAATGACATTTATGTATTCCATTTAGCCAGCACAGCATATACAATCGCTGCCAAACTGACTGACAGCCAGTCGGTAGTCATTTGTCGCCCGAATCCTCAAATCTGCTTGGCCATTGTTGAGAAAATTGAGAAACCCTTACCAGCAAACCATGCTCGGTGTCCATCAAGTTTCGCGAACTGGCTTAACCTAGTGTATGGAGCAGCCAACTCTTGTTGTTGAGTGTCAGCACATTTTCATACAACAGTTTAACCGCATTTTGAGCTTTGAATTTTACGTTTAATTGAATTAATTTCTAAAGAATATGCATCTTAAGATCTTGACTGTAGGACGAAGCACTTTTTAGCTACCTCATTTTGGCATTAAAGATGGGCGCGGCTCTCATTTTTGGGGCCTTAAAGGAAAGGCCAAAAAACATACTGCACTTATTAAGATAGTTTTTAATTCATTGCGGATCTGAACGATCGTGCTTTGGATTTTTGCGAGACAAGTTGCGATATTCAAATATTGCACAAAATTTGGAGACTACATTTCGGGTTCTATTTTGTAAGATTTTAAGAACGAGCACTTTTAAAGAATTGTAATATGGTCTATTAATAAGCAATATACAATAAAGTCAAGCTGGTCACACTTTTCAAGTATTACTATACTATAAAAGCCCTACGATTAATTAAAGACTGTGATAATAAGTTAAGGGATTAGATTTATTTATAACAAAGATGAGTAATTACATCCTATAATATATATATACCCTTATGTATGCATATCTATTTTTGCAAGAGTTTTCTTTTTTAGCACTTCAATGAAGTTTATGCAAAATAAGTGTTACCAGATTTGCATGAAGAATATCGACGAATATCATACAAAAATGTTGATTTTCTCAGTCAAAGGTTTTTTTCACAAGAAAATATAATAAGAATAATAATTATATTAATTTGGACTTGTTTTGTTTAAAAGTAAATGCGGTAAATGTTCCACCTATTTTCTCTATTTGTCGTCATGCTAGCATCCATTTGTACCTGAAGTGGTTCCATTTGTATGCCTTTTCGGCCAATTATGGGTTTATAAAAACCTGGTAAACAGCTGTGGCACCCCTTTGCCTTGGCTGTGGAAAGGGTTGGCAATTAACACCCTCCCCTCTCCCCCCCCCCCCCCCCCCCCTCTCACACACACAACACACACCCATTCGCTTTTGAGCAGCAACAAGAATTTTGTAAGGCAATAGACTTTTTTATTTATCTGTAATTTAGTTTTTGTTTTGTTTTTATTCACTTTCTTTATGTGTGCAACCCTTTGAATGTTACCTTTCCACATTAGTAATGGCAACCCTGCACCCTCTCCCCCAAGTCTATGCGGCATTTTTTTAAGCTAACCCATCGCGTGCTACTTAATTTGAATGCATTTAAAAATGTTACAATATGGGAATCGCTGTAAAAAAAAAAAAAAACAAAATAAAAACAAACAAAACAACAGCAAAAAATTGTCTGGAAAGACACGCACCAAGAACGTAAAGCAACTCCCAGCAAGGGGAGCGGGGGCACTAGCGGCCAGACGGGGAGCACAAAAGATTTGTACGTGTTGTTACTTGATGAGGTTCCTGAGTGTCAAACGCCCAACCACCCCCCCCCCCCCCCCCCCCCCCCCTCGCCGACATACCCGCAACCATACAGCATTAGCCCAACCCGATGCCAAGCACTTGCAGACTCTGTAAGAGAAAGGGATAGAAAGAGAGTATGGAAAAGAAATAGCGAAAATAGGCATTGCAATTAAGGCAAAAAGAGACGAAAAAAGCTCGCTACACACAGAAAACAGAAGGCTGCCGTCCCCATTACGCGCCCCTTGCCCCCTACCCTTGAGTATGCATCCGCCTCCGCATG